TATGAACTGGTTTGGCCCTGTGGGTGTCCGAGCCGCGCTAAACCGTAAAGGCATTAGCTCTCTAATAGACTCGCGGTAACTTGCACGACGCGTGCATGGAAGCAATCGGATGTATACACCGATAATGTGCTGAGAGAGAGAAAGAAAGAGAAAAAATGTGTGTGAAAGAGAGAGAAAGAGAGAACACACACCCAGCGAGAGAGAGAGAGAGAGGAGGGGAGGGGGGAGAGAAGAAGAGAGAGAGAGAGAGAGACGAGAGAGAGAGGAACGAGACGAGGAGAGCAGAACTTGCTGCGCGCACCTGGAGAGCAGAGAGGAGAGAGAGAGAGAGAGCGAGAGAGAGCACGAGATGAGAGGAAAGACGAGAGAGAGAAGAGAGAGAGAGAAGAGGGGGAAGAGAGAGAGAGACGAGAGAGACGAGACGAGAGACACACATTGAAGACGGAGGACGGACAATAACAGAGGCGGGAGGAGACAGACATTGAGTAGAGATGAGGGGAGGGCGGGAAGAGAGAGAGATAGAGAGAGAGAGAGAGAGAGAGAGATTAGAGAGAGACGAGAGAGATGAGAGATGAAGAGATTGTTGAGAGAGAGAAGAGAGAGAGACCAAGAGACGGGAGAGAGCGCGCGCAATAACTATATAATATATTATATATATATATACTATATATAGTGTGTGGAACAGCTGTCAGAGAGAGAGAGAGCAGAGAGGAGAGAGAGTGCGAAAGAAAATAAGACCGGAAGAGAGATAGCAGAAGAGATAGAAAATAAGGAAAGAGCAATGAAGAGAGGCGGCGTGTGTACGGGACTGTCACCTTGTGTCGAACGTGATATACACACAGGTCCTCATACTCAAATCATGGGAAATCCTGTCCGTATGTGAACTCGGTAGCGTTCTTTTCAGCAACGACAGCATGCGAACATACAATATAAAGTAAAGCTAGACAGAGCAATTATGAGATAATTAGTACGAGCGAAATCATTGCCGGTATTCGTGCCGATCTTCCATGCTACGCTGCGTTATAAAAAAAAACATCTTGCGGTGATGCCAGGAGAGTGAATGAATCGTAGCTACGATGGCGTTAGTCGCTCGGCGGCGCTGCACGTCGCATCGTTTCTGCAGTGTAGTTTAGGCCACAGTAGTGAAGCGGTGTGGTGCCATCGAAGTCATAATTATTATTATAATATATATATATATATAATATATTACAAATATATGCACGTGTGTGCCTACCCCGTGTTCGGGTGTGTGTGGCGTGCGTGCGTGCGTGCCGTGCGTGCTGATCGCCGTGTGGAGTGTGTGTGGTGTGGCTGTCGTGGTGTGTCTGTGTGTGTATGTGTCGGTGTGTGTGTGTGTTCGTGCGTGCCCCCCGCCGGACCGCTCGTGTGTGTGCCGTTGTGTCGTGTGTGTGTGTTGTGGTACGTTCCTAATCGTCATATACATCGAGCTGGGCAGACGCCTTACTTTAGAAATGTGGAAATGTCAACTACGCACACTGACCGTAGATATTGTTCACATTTCTATGGCTGTATACGGGCGTAATAGTGTCTGTCCGTTTTTGGTTTCTCTTGCAAATAAAATGCGCGCGTAACTGTAACCACACATATGTAACATACACAGTTGCGTGCGTTCGTGCGCACCTGCATGTACGTGTACGTTTGTCTAGCTCGTCTTTTCGCGTCTTCCTCGTGTTCGTTCGAAAAAATCTCGACGGTTGAAAAAGTCGGCGCGCATTAAGTTTTGCGACACCTCTCGGTGGCGCTCGAGTGATTTGAATTTAATCCTAATATGCTAAATTAATACGCATGTCTGTGTATATAAATATGCATAAATAAATGCACAATTAAATAAATAAATAATATAATTTCCGCACAAGGATATGAATCAGTGAATATATGCGATTTAATAAACTTTTACTTAACCTAACCAGTTTTAGTAATGCTGCGTCGCTCCTATTCGCATTCACATATACGTGCATACAGATCTAGAACTCTATGAGGAATGCTGACTTTAGAAATGCTTACTCTGTTTAGTTACGCGCCAATATATGCACACAGCCAAGTCAATTAAAATCTTTTCAAAACGATTTATTCATAAAAACAGATTTTTAATAAAACCCATTTCGGAGTACGATTTGTATCTTGCATTTTCCATCTATTTATCTATCTATATATAGAGAGCGAGCGATCGTCGCGAGCGAGTAGAAAGAGAGAGAGCAGAGAGAAGAGACGAGAGAGATCATAGATTAGATAGAGAAAGCGAGCAGAGCGAGCGAGAGAGAGAGAGAGAGAGAGAGAGAGAGAGAGAGAGATAGATCGAGAAAGCGAGCGAGAGCGAGGAGAGAGAGAGAGACTGCGTTAATGTTAGATAATAGCGGGTAGCGTTTCGCTCCACTTGTCGCACTCATATAATTCGTCGCTTCTTTACCGGCTAATATTGCTAATGCGTGAACAGGACGCGAGTTAGGAGAGAATGCGCGCGTTTTCAATAAAGCTGGCGGAAAATTATCGTGCCAGATTTAGATCCGCTATTCCATCGTGGTTAATCGCATCGCATTACAACAATGTTTCTCCTCGTTGCATTCTTCTACATAAGAAAAGGCGGATGCGAGCGTGCCACTAATAAATAATACCGGCTCATTGGTACGATAATCCCTTTCGCTTTACGGCCGCCATTTTTAATTCGCGGTTCTTTTCGTGCTGTTATGACAGAACGATGTCAAGTATAGCCGCAAAACAGCAGCTGTTATGCGGTTGTTTGAGGGGGTACGTCGGTGGGACGGAGGTATGTGTTTGTTTGAGGGGGTACGTCTCGGTACTACCGCGAGCGTGAATCGACCACTTAGTGCATGGGCTATAATCAAATAACGCGATGACAATTCCTTTTCTTCTCAGTATTTTTTCACATTTATACAGCCGTCCTTGTACAACAGTATATGTAACGATGTGGAAATTTACCTATTCCTACCCAGATTCTTAGCTCGGCATGTGTGAGGTATGTCACCTTAAAGGGTTGCTATCGGGTAGCGATGATGAATAATAGAAGACAAGATTATAGGATGCACTAGGCGTACTTATATTAGAATAGAGAGCCACTAAATAGATAGCTACTACGCAGTACGCGTACAATATGTTTAGCAGGCAGCGCCGCGTATCACGTACAATATATATATATATAGGTATATCTAGAGAGCCGACTCGTATGCCGCCTCTGCGCGCGCGTGTCGCGTACAAACATAAAAGGTTACCTTAGTATTTAGATCGATACGCGGGATCACTCGGCAGTGTGAAGCTTCTGGAAATAGAACGGAGGAAAGGAACAGATAGCTGAAATCGGGAGAAACGCAGGGCGCGGATAAAGGAGACCAACGGCGTTGACAAAGGAGACCCGAGTGTCCCGTTTTCTCTGTTTTTCATTCCCACGTCGACGTGTCATAAAGTAATTGCCACAGGTGGCTGGTCCTACCGAGGTGACACACACAATGGTCCAAATTGTTGTTTACGATGGCTATTAGGCCATGCGGTGGCCGGTACGGGGAGTTATGTAAATTTGTATGCATTTATCTGGCGAAGCGAGGCTGTGCTACATATATAACGTTTCTCAAACATTTATTACTGATTAATTTCATCGGCTCACCGAATTTCCCAGATTTCTAATTAACATCGATCAGTATGTCAATATAGTAAATTGTATGTAGCAAAAGTTCTGGAATTTTTTTTGCTAAATAAATGTGAAAATATAATTAAATAAATAAATGATTGTTAAAATGTGTATGATATTAATTGTATTACATTACTGTAAGAATACGCCTTGAGTTTTGATTGAATTATTTAATTTCTTAATTGAAATGGTAATAAATATTTCATCGTGTTACTCATATTTCATCGAGGTTTTAGATTCTGTTATAGCATGACAAAGAAACACACTGTCTCAAACGATTGCCAAGTAAAGATTACGCGGATTCTTATGTAGACAGAGGTCAAGACATTCTTAATGTAAAATAGAACTATAAACACACGGAAATACATTTCAAATGCGAGGTGTCGAGACAGAATGTCAGGAAATTATACCAATACCTTTAAAATATTTAACATGTATAATTTTTTTTACATGTATATTTTACATTTTACACACGCACGCACGCACGCACGCACGCACGCACGCACGCACACACATATATACACACACACACACACACACACACACACACACACACACACACACACACACACACACACACACACACACACACACACACACACACAGCCACACACACACGCACGCACACGCGACCTACATATATACAGAAGCGCTTGTGTAAAACAAATGTCGGATTATTCTTTTTTAAATATAACAACTGAATATCTGTGCAACCTAAGAACTTTTCTACCACATATATATATATATATAGTATATATATATATAGATGAGTGTGGACAGACCCTACGTCAACATCACGATCAAATGCAGCACTCAGCACACACGCAGCGAAACGTGCGAGCACACGTCATGCGTGATGAAAACATTGAACATTTGAAAAAATGTGCTTATCCGTCTATGCAAGCAGCAGCGTTATGTGACGTGATGTTTGATTTCAGCCGACTTAAGTGTCTTATGTAAATATACCACCACTGCAATGTTCAAGGGCTATGAAATCCGCCCATAGCGTACACCTACCAAGGTGCCTGCCCGCCTGCTTGCTTGCCTGGCTGGCCAGCTGGCTAGTTGCCTGCTTGCCTACTGACCTGCGTCCCTGCTAGCCTACCTATTCGCATATATTCGCACCTATCGTTATATTTGCATGATTGTCGTTACAACCGTCACACGTGGATAGGGTGACGACATTCGCGAGGGTGTTTTCATCTTCCTATTTTTATCCTCGCTCTTGTTGTTGTTGTTGTTGTTGTTGTTGTTGTTGTTGTTCTTCTTCTTCTTCTTCTTCTTCTTCTTCATTTTCTTCTTCTTCTTCTTCTTCTTCTTCTTCGTCTTGCTCTCGTAATTGTTCTTGTTCTTGTTTTTGTTTTTGTTCTTGTTCTTGTTCTTGTTCTTGTTCTTGCAATTGTTCTTACAATTGTTCTTGTAATTGTTCCTGCAATTGTTCTTGTAATTGTTCCTGCAATTGTTCTTGTAATTGTTCTTGTAATTGTTCTTGTAATTGTTCCTGCAATTGTTCTTGTAATTGTTCTTGTAATTGTTCTTGCAATTGTTCTTGTAATTGTAATTTTTCTTGCTCTTGCGATTGTTCTTGTAATTGTTCCTGCAATTGTTCTTGTAATTGTTCTTGTAATTGTTCTTGTAATTGTTCTTGTAATTTTTCTTGTAATTGTTCTTGTAATTGTTCTTGTAATTGTTCTTGCAATTGTTCTTGCAATTGTTCTTGTAATTGTAATTTTTCTTGCTATTGCGATTGAGCTTGTAATTGTAATTTTTCTTGCTATTGCGATTGAGCTTGTAAATGTTTTGTAGTTGTTCTTGGTCGTGTAATTGTTCTTGTTCTTGTTCTTATTCTTTCCCTTCATCATCATCATCCTCATCATCATCATCATTATCGTCGTCGTCTTCTTCTTCTTCTTCTTCTTCTTCTTCTTTTTCTTCCTCATCAACATCTTCTTTCTTTCATCTTGTTGTTGTTGTTCTTGTCTCTTCTTGTTCAGAGATCTGACCGCATTCCTCGTCTTGTTTCATTATGTTGTCACTTTTATTATGTCTGCATTCCATTGTCACTCTACCGCCCGAGCTATCGCAGCCCGCTAACCCGCGCGGTGCGTCTAATATACGTTACTGATATGTAAGCACGCTAATGAAATGCGTCACGCTCGCCCTTGGCGTGCCTCGCAGACGCCCACGCGAACGTCGGAACGCCCGCGAAACTAGAAAAACGACAATGAAGCGGAAGAATTGGAGCATCGTGCATGGAAGCTGCTATATAAGGCGCCGAGTCGGCAGGGTTGAGTACGCACTGTCACCGAAACTTGCTCACGAGTAGTTCAACGACGGCAGTTCTTCTTATTCGGTAAGATCGCACACTGCTTTACATGTATATATATATATATATATATAATCATATATATGTGTGTGTGTGTGAGTGTTTGTGTGTGTGTGTGTGTGTGTGTGTGTGTGTGTGTGTGTGTGTGTGTGTGTGTGTGTGTGTGTGTGTGTGTGTGNTATAATTATAATAATATATGCATCAATATATTCTCATGTCTATAGCCTGGTTAAGACGTATTGCTAATAGCGTATGCTCTATTCCTCGCCGTCGCTCCGCAGACGATCATGAAGACATCGCTGTGCATCCTTCTGACCGCGCTCGGGCTGGTCTGCGGGCAGAACGCTGGCTCGTACCAGTACAGCAGCGGTCCCGCGCAGTCCTACTCCTACAGCAGCCGCAGCAGCGGAGGCAGTAGCGGGGGCAGCGGAGGCGGCGGAGGCGGCTTCGGCCTCGGAGGAGCTGGCGGAGGATTCGGAGGAGCTGGCGGAGGAATCAGAGCAGGCGGTGCAGGCGGCGGTCAACGGGTCGTCTTCAGCCGTAAAGTTTCTTCCTCATCCAGCGGTGGTGATGGAGGTTTCGCTCTCGGAGGAGCTGATGGAGGTCAGGGCTTCCAGTTCACCTCTTCATCTGGCGGCGCGGGAGGACAGGGCGCCGGCGGCGGCGGTACCGTCGTCCAGAGGACGGTCACCACGGAGGAGTTTGGTGGAGGCGAGGGAGGCAACGCTGGTGGCTTTGTCGGTGTTGGCGGTGTAGGTGGCGCTAACATCGCCGCTCAGGGAGGTCAGGGATTCCAATTCAGCTCTTCATCCGGAGGCGGGGGAGGACAGGGCGTTGGCGGCGGCCGTACCGTCGTCCAGAGGACCGAGACCGAATTCGGTGGCGGAGAGGGAGGCAACGCTGGCGGTTTTGTCG